TGTGGGATCCAACGAGAGCAAATCTTTTTTACGGCTAAATGTTCATGCAAAATTGTATGTATGCTGTGGGATGAAATGCCCAAAGATGCCTCAATCTCACGGTAGGTCACATGACGATCTTCCATAATCCGTTTTCTGACAGCATCGATGTTTTGTGGCACAACAGCCGATTTTGGACGACCTGTATGAAACTCGTCTTTGAGCGAACTACGACCGCAACGGAATTCTCGGTACCAGTTATAAATTGTCTGAAGGTTTGGTGCTTCATTGCCAAAGGCCAAATGAAGTCGATCGAAACACTGTTGTTGAGATAATTTACTTCGAAAATCGTAGTAAATCATTTTACGAAAATCTTCACGTGTAAAATTCATTTTTTTGTTGAGTCGCAGTTTACCAGTCACTGTAAACAATACAAATAGCTTTCTTACGACAAAAGGTTCAGGGCACGAATACATACCAAAACATCAAACTTTACGAATATGACAATGGTTTACATCGGGCAACACTATAAGTACCATTTTAAAAAAAATTATGGAGCAACCTACGTATGTTTTCCACCATCCAACAACTGTATTACTTTAAACGTGGTAAATGATTCGTTATCCCATGTGTATCCTAGACTCTTAAACCTTTATTGTAGTAAAAAAAAGTATGAAACAAGTGGAAAATCAATTGAAAATTTATTGTTTTTATTTTCAAACAAATGATATTAGTTGGGTCTGTCGTATGCTGTGAAAAAGTTTTCACATTGTTTCAAAATGAATACATTATACAGACAAAATTGAAAGCATAAATTTTGAGCTGTGAATTGTTTCAAAATGGTTTAATCTAATAAAAAGAGTCATTCTATGTGATGATAATGGGACGACGAAAAAAGAGCCCCAACCATAGGTTAGCATACAGTGACTTCATTCCGTAGTTGAACGAATGGATATAAGATTGAAATGCAATATCATAAATAACATTCGAAGTGAAATGATATCGAGCAAGAAAAAAAACTGGGTGACAAAAAGGACGCAAAAAAGTATATCTCGTGCATGTTTAAAACATATATCTTTCTTTATGTCCGATCCGAATGTTCATCTGAATGAATATATTTTGTCGTGAATTGACAATTTGGTATTATCATTTGGCATTTTTACTGTTATCCGAGAAGAACATTATCAACAGCATGCGTGGGCTTGTATATAAGATTCAATAATCTATTCCCTTTTTTCTCTCTTTGCATTCGAACTCTGAACGAAGAGAAAAGAACTCGACTTTCACACCAATATTAATGCAGTTGTTCTGATCGTTTCCTTAGCGAATTGAAGCTTCATGGATAATCTCAAACTGCATTTTCTTTTATGGCACATTACGGGAAAAAAAGTGATAAAAATAGAACCAGTTTCATGACTACACGCAAAACCTATATAGAGAATAATCGCATACATTTTGTGAACGCTATTACCTTCAGAAGTTAGTATATAAAATATAAACCATTACGATTCACATTGGAAATGAATGTGCTAAAAGTTAATGCGATTTGGCATACTCTTTGGGTGTGAAATGATGAAAAACTATAATTAAATTTCAATGAAATGAATTTACATTGAAATTATTTGATTCTATCAAAACTTTGTTCATTTTTAATGAAAATCTCATGACAAACTTCACCAAAAATCATCATTGCGATTCAAATATCTACATTTTTATGCTATAACAAAAAAAAAACGGATGAAACCGGACCTAAAAATGCAAAAACTATCATATTTTAACAGCATTACTACGAATTAGACTGAAAATAAAACGGATAGAGAACATCGCAAAAAAGCGCGCAGACGACAAATGAGGAAATTTGTAATAAACACTTTGCCTGTGTGTTGTAAAATGTATCGTTTGGCTAAGCTCATAAAAACTATATCTCTCTCTCTCTCTATGCGAAATTTGTTGGTGCACATTCACCGCCATCATTTGAATAAAAAATAAAATGTATTCGAATTTTATGAAAGGGATTTGCCATATAAAATGTAAAACGTTTTTTTCGTTGCTTTTGCATTAAAACTATAAAATGAACAATAAAAATAAAAAATTTAATATGCTAAATGGAATCGAAAGGAAAAAGTGATAGCAAGGTAGTTTTACTGACTATTTTTTTCTGCTTGCATTTCAACTGAATGTAATTGAAATCTTTATGGCGTAAATATAATAAAACACAAGGAAATAACATCAGAATCATAGTAAAGTGAATAAATAGCTTAACAATAACTGAAAAAGCATACTATAACCGTATATAACAAAACATTGTTTCAATTACAATAATATTTGTTTATTTATTTCGAAAAATAAAAAGTGTATGACAATATTAATGTTGCTTTGCAACTAAACCAAACTTTTTGTTAAAAAACGAACCCAGTTCCAAACAGATAGCGTTGGATTTTCACCAAAATTAGAAAAACGCACACATTTTGCGCTTGTCTAATTTTTTTCCGGGCAAAAATCTTATAAGTTTGTGTTTGGGGCATTGGTCACGTCACCACGTACCATTTGATTTGATTATCCGCTCATTTATTGGTTTATGGAGTCATCCAAACGTATTTATTCGTTCACACATTATACATCCACATCGATAATCCATATTGTTTTTGTTCACATGTTACGGAAAAAGTTAGCTTTTGTGTATGTGATTATTTGGGTATTAACACGTCTAGAGAGATTGGACGTTCGTAAATTGGATGTGAGAACGGTTCGAATGCGAATGGCACAAAGATGGATTGGTTTTATATGAAATTAAAAATTTACTAAAAATAAAAGATTTTTGTTCTTGACGTTGTATTGTCGTTTCCATCGCAAATGGAATATGCTCATTTTTTGTGTGCACTATGTCCAAAGTAATGGGCATTAGTAAACATCCATTAGATGGATATTAAATGTATTTATCTGCCGAGATACCCTTCACATTTAACATGTTGAAGCAATGTATTATCTATAGATTTAGATTGCTTTCGTGCCAATTGTAACAACGGACATTGTTTAATTTTGCGTAACATTGCATTAACATCATTCATTAGATTGAGATGCGAGATTTGAGAGCACTGGGCTTCGGGCCGTTTCAGTATTTCTGATTTTCAAGTAATTAATCCTTCAGAGTGCAGAGAAAATCGATATTCGGTCGATACATTTAACTGTGCAATATAAGTTTAGCCATAAGGAATGTCAGAAATTGATTTGAAATCCAATCAGTGCTATATGGCTTTTTGCTAAAATCGTAATTCCAATACAAACAATGCATTAGATAAAATGGCATTGAAATAGGTATTAATAGGATTTTAGTCACTGATTAACACATACAAATATTTTACCAAAATGCTTGAATGTATTCTAAATGATAGCATGTATTGTATTTCCAACGCATACAATTTCTGTACAAGTACTGCGAGCAATTTTCATTAAAATTGTCAGTTCACCAATTCTGCAAGCGAAATCTGACATGAAAAAAGTGGTTAAATTTTAAGTGTGAATCGAAACTCATAATTGCGAAACTGGAAAAATGCGTGGCGCAAAAAAAAGTTCATTAACGAAACCCTTGTGAAAACAAAATGACTGACTGACTATAAATTAAGTCAATTTTAATCACTTTTATTCGGTTAAAATTTCCAATAGATGATTGAAATCGAATATAGTCGGTTATGTTTCAGAGTTAACTAAAATTGATTATAGTCAACATAGTTGACAAAAGTCAATTTTATATAGTTAAAGTTAACCGTAGTTAACTATGATCACAATTGACATTTCTCAACTCAAGTTACATGAAGACGCATATAGTCACTTATAGTTAACTTCAGCCATTTTTGTCCCAAATTAGTCAATTTATAGTCGGCTATGAACTCGAAATATTTCCACAAGGGAATTCATTTATCCGAAATGAATTTGATACTAAATTTATTTGATTCGTGCATTGAAATGTTTTCGATGAAAAGAGATAAACGATATATCAGAATTGCTTTTATTTGATACATCTGTATTGTTCTACATAACGATAATGAAATGAATGTGTAACGGTATCGATTGCGTTGGCTTACATATCAAGCAAATGAAATGCTCAACACATTTCTTTTGTATTGCAAATCATTTCCGAAACCTATTTCACACATACAAGCTCATTTCGTCATTTATTTATTTTATGAACTCCGTCATTTTCACGACGATACGTGGCATCCGAAAACAGTATTTCACAATAGTATAGTTTTCGAATTTCAGGTTGAAAACTTTGTTAAATTGCTGCGGTCGGACAGTGAGAGGCTATAGAGAGAAAAAAATCCCGGCACGTGTGTGAACTGATTATTCATGTTTCGCCGTAAGTGCATAAATATTCGATTGCAATTGAAAAGCCTTTGAGCCACATGAATGCTGTAAAATATAATGCTATAATCCATCGGAAATATTCGCAGTATGTGAAACGCTCATTGTCCCAATACACACGTCTATAAAGTCAACTTTAGAATGATAGCCATCAAATGGTTTTTACTGTTATACAAATGTGTGAACATATGGGATTAAAAGCAAATACTTTTTCGGCTTTTTTTGGAATAAAAATAGTATAAGTTTTCAATTAAACAACTGTAGAAATTGAATGAAAATAAAAGTAACGAAAAAAACCAAATGTTATTCATGCAATGAAATTTATAGATGGATTTTTTTTCAACTGAAATAATACGATGGCTGAAAAAAATGTGATTTAAAACTCAATCAATTTTTCACATGCCTTCGAGCTCTGATTTTATAAAGAGAAAAAAATAATTAAATGTTTTTTAAAAAAATGATGTTTTAATTGAAATATTAGAATGTTGACTGAGACTGCGGCCAGCGCCATCTATCGTCGATACTTTCATCGAAGCGAAACAGCTGCGCGAAACGCTTAGATACCTCCCTCCATTGGAATGTGACAGTTGACATATTGTTTGGTATCCTAACGATGCTATTTAGTTTGTTTGTTTGGTAGTTCGTTGTTATTGGTTTTATGTTTTGAACGAAACTATTGAAGTGATACATTTTTATAGAATATTTGCACGAAATTATTTTAAATTCAATGAATAGATAGAGTCAATTTTGTTTTGAAGTGTTTTTATTTTGTTTTCAGTAGAAATAGATTTTCGCCGAAATAATGAATGCCGGCAAAGAGAATGATAATAAATGTAAGTGAACACCACTTCGAAACTTATCTCCTAATGGCAGAAATGTCATGAAAATAAAAATAAAACTAATTTATTTTTCATTTGCAGCTGAACAAAATGCACTGTCCGCAAATTTGTCTCAAAATAAAATGGCAAATAGATTGAATGGAAGTAAAGTGGCCGATCCACAAAAAGTAGTGGCAAAGCCACGTACAACAACACAAAAGACTGGTAAAACTCCGAGTGCAATAAATGCTGCATTCAAAGCAACAAAGTCAACCACGGCTACCGCGACAAAAATCACAAAATTGGTACTCAAGCCAAAACCCACCGCACCGAAAAGTTCGTTAACGTCGAAAGTGACAACGAAAAAATATATCACAAAACCGGTTTCGATAAAATCAAGGTCAACCATGATTTCGCATGAATCGACATTTCGCATACAAAGCATTAAAAAAACATTGCCAAGTAAAAAGCAAAGCGACCAAAACGAACTGATTCTGATGAAAAATGAACAGATCTCACAGCAATTGATTGTAAATGCAAATAGTTCAAAGATTAATGAAACATTGACGCTGAATAAACCATACGAAACGGTACACTGTGAACAAAATTCAAACGAAATGTCAGTGAATGTAACCAAAATTATGGACAGTCCAATTTTACAAGAAATCACACAAGCCGTTGTAAATGGTTCGAATTTAGTGAAAAGTCCAAAAAAACATTGTGAAAATAATGCAAAATGCAAATCAAAATTTTATGATCCGATTAAGGCACGACAATTTATACAAATGCAAAAAGAACAGCGTAAACAAGCTGACAAAGAGAAATCTAATGCACCGGCCAGCAAGGAAGAGATTAAACAACGACTATCTGCTTTGCGGAAGAATACGTTGGAAATTCTTGAGAAAAATGTACAAAAAGCAAAAAAAAGTAATGTTCAAACGAGAAAATTGAATACATTCACACCGAAAGCAACAAAAATAAGCACGCATCAACAAAAAGGTAAGAAAAAAAAATATTTTCACTAGTTTTGCTTGCAAAAGTACCGGTAGCGCGTTTTTTTAATCTCGGATTTTTTTTTTTAAATGTTTGATAAATATGCAATTGAATTTAATTCCAGATTCACATCCAAAAAAGACGAAAGAGACTCCAAATGCTTTGAAAACACCTTTGATGAGATTTCAATCAAAAGTGTCGCCCTCACTTGCTCTTACGCCGTCAAAATTTTTGCCATCGATTAAGACTGATAAAATTCGCATTGGTATATTGCGCCGCACAGAAGGAGAATCTCCGACTATCGAAAATGACCTAGCTGAAGATGAAATACCACCCATTGGCAGTGCCAATATCGAACCCAATCATTCCGTATCAAATGCTGATTTTAATTTATCGCCTGAAAAATCCGTCCATAACACGTCATTCAAAAGTAAATCAGTTCAATGTGAATTTGAGCTCAAAGTGCCCGACACAGTTCCATTAAAATCATCACTATTGCATGAAAGAAACGGTATGCAACATGAGTTTGTTGAAGAAAATGACGGGCAGTATGAAGGTGCATCAAAACCCAGAGAAATTCCATTTTGGTTACGTCCAACACCAGTGCAGCCATACCCGTACAATTTTATCGTAGCAGTCCGAAAGAAATTAGAATCGATTACAAATCCCGTATTTGGTCCATGCAGGCAATACCAATGGCCAGATCCACATGAAACATCGTTTCACAGCCCTGTAGCGCAGCCGGACAAAGTGTTTTCATCGAATTATCGCCGTAATTTCGATCGAACACAAAGTGAATCGGAAAAGTCAATGAATGAAAATATTAAATCAAACGACATTGAAGATGAAGATCAAAAGGAATATGAAATGGATTTCTCGTCGGTAACATTTGAATCGAAACGAAATCGCAGTAACAATCGCTCGAAATCAAAACGAAAAACTATGAATGGTTCACAGGACACACTATCCATATCGTCTGGCATTTTGTCTCATTCGAGTCCAGAGAAGAAGGTACGAACAACTACATCGGACGATATACATGATGAAAAGGACAATGACGAACGACAACCGAGCCCATTAACAACCGATAACGTTGATGGATTGCACATAACAAGCCGAAGTTTATCGCAACATGAACGCATTTCAAATGCAAACAGTGTGGTTAGTCGTCAATCAATTATATCAAGTGTTGCATCTCATATAAATTTCAGCAGAGGTAAAGATTACAGTGAGCAAAGCATACCAAGTTTACATAAACTTAGTCAACAACACAGTGTAGCACAACTATTGAATGATTTTAAAACAAGTTTATCGGCGGCCATTGAAGCCAATCAACGTTTGCATGAAATGCTTTCAAATCCACCATCGAGCAGACAGTACAGTGATGATTTTGAGCATGAAAGCGATAATAAACAAAGTCATATCAGTGAACGAATCACGGAAACACATGAAAATACCAGCATTCCATCATATAAATCTTCGTATATCGTTAGTGCGACGCAGACGAATGGTCCAACGAGTGAAGAGAGAAGTGATGAGTGCAATAGCAGCACATCCACCAAAATAGCCGAAGATGTTATTGTAGTTTCATCAAATCGAGAAAGCATTCCGACAAATCAAAATGAAGAGAGTACACAAAAAGGTGGCAGCTCACAAATATATGAAAGTTCGCGCACGCCAAAAGACTCCTCAACAATGATTGAAGAGAAAATTGACGATTATCAATCGAGCGAATCACCAACAAACAACGATTTGAAAAGTGTTTCATTATCGATTGCCAAAAAATCGGCACCAACTAGCGATGACACAGATCAAGCCTCAAATGCCATAGAATCGTTTAATAAACAAATCACCGGCGATCCAGATATGGCCAACAAAAGCGTTGCCAACGATATTTTTGATGTTTTCAATAAAACCGAATTGAATTTGAATGGTGATGCAAACAAATCGCTTTGGTCAGAGCATAATATTAGTTACTCCACATTGGGAGCGGTGAGTGTTCCTCTTTACTTTTTTTAACAATCCTCTCGTTTATTAATTGGAAATAATTTTTAACTCTACCCTCTTGCACCCGTTTATATTATAGTGCGATCAACTTCTAAAGACCGAGACACGAAAGAGTCAGGATTTGGCGTCGATGTTGAAAATCCGTGAAAAATCGCTCGTCGATCGATTCAAAGGGCAAATTGCATGGTTAGAGCTGCAAAAGCAAAAATTCAAAGAATGCGGTTTGACAGCCGAAATCACAATGATAAAGAAAAAACAGCGAGCTCTATTGCTGCGCTTGAATAACGATCGTCAAGAATTGCATCGCATTCTAAAAGAGCGTCAACAAATGGATTCGGCAAAAAATTCGTCGCTTGTCAACTACAATATATCACAAATGAGCACAAACATGAGCATTCGTCGCACGTCGATTGCAAAGCAATTAAATGATACTACAGGCAAACGAGCCGTAAAAGCAATTGAATTACCCGGCGGTGGGACTGCACTTGAAACGTATGTTTTCTTTCATACAACAGCAATTTAATTTTTCATTCGATATTTTATGTGGCAAAAATCAATTTAAATAAAATTAATTACAATTATGTATATGTTTCCATTTCGGTTTCAGTATGTTACAAAAACGGGAAAATGAATTGCGACGTCGGCGTGAGTATGTGGAAAAACTATTGAGATGGCATCAACGATTGGATGTTGAAGAGAGTGAAGTGATAAAAATGGAACAAATGATCATGTTCATATCCACTAGTGACGTTTATCAAACAACTTCACGTGAACAAATCAATGACACACTTTCAATAACCGTACAACATACAAAACGAACGAACTGTCATCGCAGCACCGATAACAGTTCAGTACATGAACGTTCGCAAACAAATGTCAATGATTCAATTACAATGGAACGAACACGTTTTGAGCATAAAAAACAAAAGCAAATCCATAACATTGAAAAAAGTTTAAATACTTTGAAAATGATATCATCGCGAAGTATTTCATCGGACATTGAAGGTGGTTCGAATGCAGATGATTTTGTAGAGATTTATGGTCGACAATTGAATAAATTATGGAAGCGATTAACCGGTGAATATGAGAAAAAATACTCACCCGATAAAGTGTATACATTAAACAAATCGGATTTGGAACGATTGTATGAACAAGCGAAATCCGTTGTTTTACAACAATTTCACGTGAAAGATGAATTGAAGCGTCGTCTCATTGATAATTCCATGTCATTTATTGATGCAAGTCAGCAGAATAGCGTGTCAATGCCACAATTGTCCGAAACAAAAGATGAAAATATCGATCGAAAAACCGAACCGGAGATTAATGTGCCAACATTGAATTTGGCCAGCTCACCAGAACCAAGAGACAATGTTAATTCAGACACTGATCAAGGTTATTACTTTTCGAATAGTATCAATGAAGAAATTAGCGAAGAGAAGAACCAATCAAAACCTGAACCTCAAAGTGTTGAACCATCAGATGGTATGTCGGCAAATGTTGAAGGTAGTGAAATTCAGACAGAACAAGCTATCGAAGAGGAGGATGAACATAGTGAAAGCGTACAAGAGGATGTTGAATCAGATATTACAGAAGATTCACTTAATAAAGCAAAAACATCGACCGTTGAAGATATTAGCCCAACGGAAATTGAAACTACTTCTCAAGTTAATGAATCTCAGACAATTGAAAGTGAGATTCCATCAGCCATTGAAAGCAGCACGTCAACCATTCCATTTGAATTGAATTTATCTGATAAGAATAACACACAATTGATTGAAGAGACATCATTTCCAAACATAGATATTCAAACGACCGTTTCGAGCATTGTGGAAAGTGACATCGTTTCACCAGAAAAAAAATCATCATCGCACTCGCGTCTGACGGACAAGCAAACGTATCATTCAAATGATTTCGAAGAGAGTAAAAGCCTAACCTCAATTTCAACAGCAACTGTCACAAAAGTAACAACAACAACCACCCCAACGGTATCTCAATCCACGGAAAAGACGATTACACCGACAACCGAACCATCGAAAGATTTAGAGGAGCGCTTAATTCTGATTGATGAAGGGCTAAAAGAGCTCAGTGAAACGATTTCACATTCACCGATCTTAAAAATTGAATCAGAAATTACGAACGGCAGTAAAAGCATTGACACCGAAAAATCAAGCGTCACAAGTGTGTCATCATCAGACAATGAGAGTAAACAAGATGACGAAATTAAGACGATAGAGAGTATTGAAAAGAGTGAAGAAAATTCAGAAAATTGTGATGAGAAAACGGTTGAAAGTGAAACACCAACAGAATCGACATTGAATGAACCAACGAGCATTGGCACATCAAATGGTGCGCCAAAAGTTGATTCAGATGAGAGTACCGATAGCATCGCAGCCGAAATTGCTGCCAGCAAGGAGAACATCCAAACATCAACCGAATTATTATTGCAGAAGCGACCTTATCAATATACATTAAGTGCCAGTTCGATAGATTACAACAAAGTTCCAGAGGCTGCTCTAAAACGTTCACAAATTCCATTGGAATCAGAGGTAAAATTAAAAAAAGAAGACACTTTTGAAATCTAAGACACATCTCATACTTTTTTTTAACATTTCAGATAAAAACGGCAGAACAGTCGACTGCTATGTTTCCATTTCTACGTGAAATTCCAAACAAACCACCGCCACCATATCCAGTGCATCGTCAATTGCCAAAAACACCAAGTGATGACCGCATTAAAGAGATTGTTAATCGTCGCGTCGAAGAGTTGTATGAGAAACTGAATTCACCACAATCACCAGAGACGCCAATTCGAAATGATGCAACATTCGTCAAATCGCCAACACTATCGATTTCAAGTCCCGATTCACCGGCTACACAAGACGATCCAAACATTTTCGAACGCATTATACTAGATAGCTGCGAAGAAATTATGCAAGAAATCAGTGCCCAAGAGAAACAACTAACGGGCATATTTCGACAACCGTTAACCTTCTATAAACCACCGAATCGACTGAAATGTTTCCAACAACACACGCTCAGGCGAATTTTTAAATTACTTAATCGGCCAAGCGGCGACTCGATAAATAGCGACGAATCAAAATCGTATAGTGGAATGCGTTCATTTTTGCCATCACGAGTGGCTCAATTGACATTTAACAATCGTCGAAAACGTGATGCTGTCGATGACATATTGATTCAAGAACTGTACGAAGATGAAGCACGTTGGACAAATTTCGATTTGGAGGAAAAAGAAATCAGAGAAAATGTTGCTGATCTAAAAACCTTATTGGCCGACGATTCATCATCATTTATCAATACAACAAACACTGAATAGGATATATATATATTTTTGTTGTCTTTTAGGTTTTGGTAGTAGAATTTACCAATTTTTGCATTTGTAATAGTTTTACACATCATATTACATATATTATTGTGTCAAATCGGAAATATTTTGTTTTTTGTTTTTGTAATAATGAACTTTTTTTCTACATTCTCTGTGAATTTTTCAAATAGCACGCATGTTGAATACGACTAGATTGCACGAATAATAAAAGAAAAACATTTTTATAAAACAACATTATGGTTTTTTTTTTCATATTTATTGTATGTAAACAATGCCCTCATGTCACGACATGGCTTTTGTACCATTTCAAAAAGCATTGATAAGCTGCTTACAGATGCTTTTCGTAGAAAGCATTGGCATTTTGATTAGTATGCTACTGTAACTGAAATATTGTTTTGTCGTCCCGTAATGTTTACAAATGCGTTGGGTTTTGACTTGAATATTGAAACCACTCCCAGTAATTTCTCAAGGGCAATGCGAAATGTACGATACGTGTCCACTGTCCATTCGGAATGTTTTGTTTGAATCTACTTTTTTGCTCTTGTGTAGTAACATCCACATAATTATGCAAAATGTAATGGTTAAAAAATCTCCCCAAGGAATACTAAAGTATTTCGTTCAACTCAACGGTTCAATGTAAATGAACGGCTTCTGAAAACATTTAGATGTGCAGAGAAAATGATCGACAATAATCGTATAAAACAATCACTCGAATGTCTTCAATGGTCGACTCAAATCAACTGAGCTACAACTGAATGGCACACAAGAGACTCAATTAACAAATAAAATGGTTTGTATATGCGATGTGTGAAAAAGGACTGATGCGAATACTGAAGTTGTGGCCAACACTGCATTAGCAAATGTACATATCAAGCGTTGATTACAGGAATAAACAATGAACATATTATAATACAAATGAAAGAAAGACGAGGGATTCGATACGAGAAAACACACACATAATAATAACCACAAATATAAAGTTCGAAAATGTGAAATGGAACCAACTAAGAATTAACAGTGTATTCTCTTTGCCAGAAATACTAATGAAAGAATCGAAAAAGTCTCAACACATTTTCCAAATTTTGGTAAATAAAAAAGCGATAAATGGACATTTTGTAATTTTTTTATGGAACGAACCTTGTTTTGTAAGACCGCAGACCTTCGTACGGGTTTTGAAAGATTAAATGCCAATTTTTTTATTTAAAGAACTAGTGGATCGAACGGTTTCGGATTAACTAGACTCTACTGTATATATGTATTCAACGAAGACAAAAATCGAATCAAAATGAATGTCATAGCTCCTTTTAATATGAAAATCGAACACAATTCAAACATAAAATAAACACTTTTGGCAAACGCCTTTTCTCTCCCTTCCTCCTTTTCCTTTTCTCTTTCCTTCTTTCTCTATTTTTCTCATTTCTTTTTCGATGTTACAGAGAGTGTGAAATATGTTAAGTAATGTCTGTGCAAAGGTTCTCATTGTCAACATGAAAATGATAGGGGGTGTGATGTCTCAACTTTAAATACAATCCAATAACAATGGAAATATATCCAATTCAATGTTGGACTAACGTTCACCAATCACGCATATACCCACTGCTGTGCCGTTGAATGGCAGCGTATAAATAATGCCATAACAAAATGTTCAAATGCGATCAAAATTGATTTTTGCCGTTTTATTTTATTTTCGTAGCGTCAACGAAACGAAAGAAGAAAAAAAAAAACAATCTGGTTGTTTTTGCGATTGGATGTTATCTCCAATCGATTGGAGATGTTCATCTGTCGAAAACGCATCACAATCAAAAGTGAAGATGAAAAATTAAGGCAAAATTGGAAACAGTTGGAGAGCGACTCACATTTGGATGTGCATATGGATGTGCTTGTGTATGTATGTCTGTTAATCAATATGTTCGTCGAATAGAAATTGCCTATTTATCGTGAAATCGTTTACAAATCGTTTTGTTCGTTTTTTCCTCCACAAGACCAAAAAGACAAATCACACTCACATTTAATGTCAATTTGTTGTATTCCACGATTTCCAATGGTCGAACAACACAAAAACATATTTGAACGATTTTTCTCCTCGGTCAAAATCATATTTATTATTTTGTGAATCAAACGAAGAATCAACCATGCCTGAATTTGATACTCGTTTTCTATGCCATCCCAACAAGCAACAAATAGCCACGATGTACGAACAAAACGAAGTGAATATTGAAGGGGAAAAATGCTTTTTGCTGATTGCAGCAAATTGAATATCTTTTCAGAACCGAAATTGACACATCCGTACACAAAAGCAAGAAGGAAATGAACAGAAAAACGCACACATAAAACAGACCCATTTGTGTGTGGGTGGCGCGAGAGCACACCGTTAAATTTGAATGTATTGAATGTAATGAAATGAAACGAATAAATGAATGGTGATTCAAAATGTAATAACAATTTAATCAAATTCTATTCATATGGAAAATCGTGCTACAAAGTTAATCAAACGTACCACGCATATGAATGGATGGCAAAGCAGGCCAAAACACTAAACGAAAAATCATCCGAGATAGTCATATGTGGAAACTGGCAAATCGTTGTATGTATGTGTGTTTGCATGTAAATTGATATGAAATGTATGCAAGAGAAATTTAAACTTTTCTTGCTTTTTTGTACGTGGTCGAATCAATTGAACATAAATTAGGATATCTCGAACGGAATTCAATTTACCGTACATTTAAGAATGAATTGTATACGTATTCGTTTGCCGGCTCTAGTATAAAAATATTGCATAACAGTGAATAATAAACAGTCTGCGTTTATTGATAAATTTTGCATCACTACAATATACAACGTTTGTTCACCGCATATAAAAGTCGAGAAAAATATGAAAGAGATTGTCCTACATTTGTATATTGAACTTTTCTGCATCTCACACAAAATAAACATTTTCTATAAACCTTTTCGAAAGAATCAATAAAAAAAAATCAATCTGTGCACTGAGCATCTTTCTGTAAAAATTCTTCTGTGTTTTGATGGTTGTTCATTTTTTTCATCGATACCAATTTTTTTATCACACACTTGACGTCTGAGTTAAAGAAGAAGAAAAACGCTCACGAATACGCATATTTATTGGGTTTATGTTTTGTTGTTGTTGGTGGTGGTGTACTTTCGTCAAAAAAGTAACATTATTTGAATGTATATTAAAAAAAAAATTCAACAAAATTGCTTTTTCCCTTCTTCAATATCAAAAACAATAAAACGAATGTAGAGCTGACTGAAAGGAGGAGAGAGAAAGTGAAATATAGAAACAAAAAGGAGTAACGAGAACGACGTTCATGCATTAAACATATGAGATTGTGAGCATGCCTATTCTATTTGATTCCCATATCGTCGTAAAATTTGTATGAGACGGGACTTGAAGGCGTTGTAAACTCATGGAAAACACAAACCAAGAAAAATATGAGACAAGAAAACAATGCACATCACGAACACAGCAGATAAATACGCATCCTTCCACTGCCATCACCATCCTCGAACACGGTAGAAGAGAAAAAAAGTGGCCAAAAAGAAATGGTCGCAAGCAACATTTTTGTGTAAATAACGTATGACTCCTAAGTGAAAAAGTGAATATCGTGCACATTCGATCGGGATTGCACGCAAACAATATAAATATAATTCACTATTATTTATATTACATTTTCTTGGTGTGTACAGTCTGTACGCCAGGGTGCATGTTACATGGGACTTTGTGTTTCTGAATGCGAGCGCGAAAGTGGCACTAGTGCAATTATGTTTGCAAAATATAAGAAGAGCAGTAAATTTTCATTTTTCACAGCCTTATTAAGGACTGTTCACTGCATGAAGCGACAAACGATGAAGATAGAGTTGATTCAAATGCAATAACCCTCCCTCTCCCAATTCACGTACTCACATTCAATCGTATGTATACGTGTTCGAAGTTTATGCATTCCGCATTTCTTCGGCGCGCATCATTTTTGACGACAAATCGTAGTTTTTTTCAACGAAAGAAAAAAAAAAATGTTGATCGCATGCATGAAAACAAGAGGAAAACAACAACTTATAATTCAATGGTTGAGAAATGATTATCGGGTATCGATGAAATATTCGCTCCCTTGCACAACTAGCGGTGCATACTTGCGGTGTGTATGACGCGATTCGATTGTGGTATCCATGCCATATACTCATAAACTGCATATAACTCTTATTTATTTTGCATATATCAAATAGACTGTCTGAAATGTTGCATGTATCTCGACGTTGCACGTCGAATAAATAATGCACAAACAAGATTCCATTCGGCTTTTATTTGGAAAATTCTTCCACTCTATCTTTTTTCATCCTCATTCCAACTTACTTACTTCGTCGCCATGCTCGTTCGCTCTCTTAGCGAATGCTATTCGCACATTCTATATTGAATGCACATAGTATGTGTGTGTAGTGCACACGCCTTCGGGGAATTTATGCTTTCCCTTCAATGTTTTATCCGAAATGGAATATTTTTTGAGCCAAGTACGGTTGTGCAGATAACTCACATACTTTAAAGAAAAATATGCAAAATATTTTGAAACGAAATGCTATTTTCAAAACCCCCACAACATCAGCGAACAACACGAAAAGTCAGATATGAAATAACATTTGGCACATATTCCGAGCAAGTATGCAATTGACCTCGATTGCGGAGCTGGACGTAAACGCTTATGATTTTCGTGTTTGTTGTTCTTTTCAGCAAATTTCCATTTTCATCTGAATTTAAACAAATTTCAAGACATTTCCATCGAAATTGAAACGATTTTTATCAACATTATTTTGCATCCAAGAATGTAATATGGATGTAATCAGAACAAAGACGAACAAGACACTGTCATTTAAATGTATACATGCGAAAGTGCATACACACAGAGACGCTTAGAATTTCATCATCGTTGAGTACTAATATTAGAAAATTATTATGTACGTATCATTTTTTTTATCTCTGTTCAATGAGAAATGTCAAATTGTTACATTTGGAAATCGATTTTATAAAAAAAAGTGTAAAAAGAGATCCATTTTTTATGAATAGCAGAATACAATGTTCGAATATAGACATTGTATCTCAAATTTAACAAAGGTCATTTTTTGCATGAAAAATTCCATCACTCATTTTCAGACACGCATTTTTATCTCATTTTTTTGTGAAA